ATATGTGTGTGTGTGTGTGTTGGTTTTTATGTCCGTATTTTTTGTCTGTATTTGTGATTGTGCGCCTGTGTGCATGTCTATATGTAAATATATGTAAAGATGTGCCTTCTTATGTCTGCGAATGAATGCTGTGTGGTATCCTTACAGTTTCGAGTAATATCTTTATTCACCTGCACAACTAATCCTGACCACTCTTGTCATCCGAAAAAGGTTTATGGAAAGGATGAGCAGGATTCAGGCCGAATGGAAATCAACATGACCATCTGGGAATAGCTAACACGTTTGATGATGAAATGATACTTCGACTAAACAATAGTCCGCTCTGAACTCCGATTGACTATTCGGATTGACTATTCGCATGTATGAATGACGGGATTTCGGGAGGGATATTTCTTTTATGTAAAAAGGGATTATCTCTATGGTGAGGGTACCCCATGCTATCACCAACCCCCTTTTTCTAATAAGATGCTGTGACCAAACTGTGGCATATAATCTCAGAATAAGATACCCCCGTGAAAAAAATCAGCAAGAGCCTCATCCGGGACTACATCTGAAGATGTACCTTCTAATAAAATCCGAATGCGGGCGGCCACTATCCTGTCCATTCTAAATTTAAAAATAAAAATGTACATACTTGGTGTTCAATTTCCAGGATATATTTACTTTGTTCCAGTGTTTATTTTTTTCTATAAATGCGTCATTGTAAACCCCTGAAAGAAGGAAGGCTAAAAGTAAAGGCTGAGTATGCTTTTTTAAATTTTTATGAATGCATAGGGGCATGTCAAAATATCTCGCAGTTCGCTCCTGACATATTCAACATCACCCGTATGTTAGTGATATACGCATCAGCCCAGATAACATTCCCGAGAGCATAAGATGAGGACAACTATACTATCTATTATCGTAGCTTTCTTGGCAATAGGATGCGGTACACTATACCTGTATGAAGTGTATGATCGCGACTCTCAACTTTCCCAACTCAACGCCCTCAATTCCAATCTGGACCTCAATAACAGTAGTGTGCTTGTGGTAGGGGCTACCGCAGGTATAGGCCGAGCGATCGCGTTGAGATTTGCTAAAGCCAATGCAAGCGTATCTGTGGTAGGGAGAACTGTCAGCAAAGGGACAGCATTAGTTGAAGAGATGCATAACATAACATCTTCAATCTCGTTCGGGTCAAATGTTACTGCAAATAGTTTGGATAGTGGCAAAGACAGACACGCGTTCTATGCGTATGATGTATCTCTGTTAGCCAATGCGCGTGCACTTGCAGAAGAGTATAAGCAAACACATACGTCGCTGGATTACCTTGTTCTCAGTCCGTGTATAGCGACTATCCAAGGCCGTACAGAGACGACTGAGGGCAACGATGTTAAGATGACGTTACACTATTACACACGCATTGCTCTAATTGAGGCACTATCGGATGTTCTCAAGACTGGCAAGGGGCGTGTACTGAGTGTGTTAAGTGGTGGTGAACACAGCCTATATACAGGATACAGTTCAGATGTTGAGCTTAAGACTGACTATTCCATCGCTAACGCCGCCAATGCTGCTGGATTTTATACTGATGTTGCGTTCAGCATATTACGGGATAAATATCCTCATTTAACACTCTTCCACAGCTCTCCAGGGTTTGTGGCCTCGGACTGGGGCACAGAAATGCCTTCTTGGCTCCGTGTACTGATTCGTGTGTTGCAGGCGAGCTTTGCTACTTCTACGGAAGCATGTGCCGAGTTTATGTGTGCACCGTTATTTGATGACACGATCGCGAAAGGATTTCATGTGAGAGGATCACGTGGGGAGGTTGCGCAGGAGAGCGTAGGGATTGAGCAAGCGAGAGATACTGTTTGGGCACATACACTTGATGTTTTAAAGTAGTTACCTGTGCGTGTTCATATAGATATCTCCGTATGTTTTTTATTTAAATTCTCTCCTCTGGCACAAACATGGAGTACTGGCTTTTATGTACAGGGTTACGCATACGAACTTTCTAGAGGTGCGATTGAATCTGCACAATTGCTGCTTATGTATTTTCATGGTTCTCGATGTTGGTTTCCCATATACATTCAGTTGACAATATACGGTACTTACACATTTGGCCGTATTGTATACCATAAAGAGTAAAGTTGAAGTTTAGTTATAGGCCGACAGAAGACGCATTCATCCACACTGATCATAGTTTTGGACTCTTATATCTCTAGTGTTTTGTATATATAAACATCATCGGTTTACTAGGTCACCAACCTATGGTCCGTTGAATATGCAGCCAGAGTGTGTACCATTTGGTAAGTCACGTCATATATTGCTCGCAAGTGAACAGAATTGCTCGCCACACATTTGTTATATAAATCAAACATAGGGGACTGTTGATGCCTCCAAAATGATTCAATGCAACCCATGACATTTATCGGCCTGAACTCCAATAAGGAATATACATTGATAAATATATATATATATATATAATCATAATTAATGTTCAATTCCGGAAGACTGTGATTATGTACTGATCTTACACATTTGCGCAAGAGGCTAGGCATCGAGTGAATCTGGCGAAAAGAAGATATAGCAATGGCAACCTGACTATATTTTAGCACACTTATTAAAGCTTCCAGTACTAGAATCATGCAACAGGTGGGAGGAATAGTCTCGCATATACACATCTTAACTAACCAGTGTAGTGCTCGTTTAAAGAATTTTCCACGCAATAGCTTCAGTTCAGCTTCGTATCGACATGTTGAAACTCTAGCTTTTTAGTGCTACCCCAATCGCTTCAACAACGTATCAATAATCTAGCAACTATCCTTTAGACTTCAACTCGGGCAATTAACCATATGGTATATGTGTAAGCGTTCATCCGGCACTATTCAATGACTCTGTTACGCTTTATATACCCATATATGCAACTTGCTTTAGAAATCCCAAGCGATATGGACATTCTTCTACATTTAGCAGATGTAAATTGCAGCATGTGAGCTTGTTAGTTTCTAGTGGTTGTCAACAGTGAATGTGTGAATCGAAATGTAAATGTGTTGAAGATGCTTGATAGACAAATGCATATAGAATAGGGAACCACCGGGAAATGCCTGCATATCATGGGCGCCACATCTATTTTACTTTTTACACCTTATTCTTTCTTATTCTCCGTGTTTCAAATCTGCAAAATACTATGCAATAATCTGCATGATGCAAGTATATAGGTTCAATTCAACCTCTACAGTGTCGTCCAGATGCAGGGATATGAGGATTTTTACTGCGTTTACTTCTGGCTATGGACATAGATCAACAAAAAAATGTATGTACACATAGTCATAT